TTGTGCAGTGAGTGGGTGAAGAGTAAAGGAAATACATCTGCTAAGATACAAGTTTGGCTTTAAACTCAATATTTTATTAAGGAATAACACTTTGTAGGGCTTCCTTTGAGGTGATACATCTTTCTACTGCCTTTGGGCCACTAGTTCAGGCTTTGTCTTGATGAGGAAAATTGGTCCCTTTGTCTAGTGTTGAGTCAGGATAACAGCTCTAGCTTTAGTTCCATATTTTATAGTTTCCATATCCTATCACCAACCCTCTCACACTCATGGTTCAGGAAGCTAGGCTAAAATATAACCCTGTTAAAAAAACAAGCTAAAGGTATCATCCTGCATCTATGCCAGGAAAAGTGAATTAGAGAAACTCAACTACTTTTCTATTCAAAACACATCTTTAAAGGCATACCATTAGATACTATACTAATGACTAATCTTATTTTTTCACTGATGTAAATAAATCTTCATTGACTTTAGTGGATTTCAGCTAGATTTACATCAGCATATGAGAGCAGAATCATCAGATATGGAAGCAGATGACGTGCTTCACTTGAAAACAAGCTGGTGTTTAGTATCATTTCAAGTCAGTACAACCAACATGATGTGTGCTTTATTTCTGAACATACACCACATCCAATGGAGGGAGGAACCCCAAATCTATACTTAAGTCAGTCTCTGTAGAATTAACTCTTCATAGATGTACCAAGACATTTAAAAAACTTTCTACAGGTTCTCTTCTTGCTGTTTAGTTCAAATTAATACTGGGTAAACTACTCACAACAAATATTTTTACCAGCACATTTAGTTTTTTAATACAAGGTATCTAGGAACAGGATTTTTTCATATTTGCTTTTAAAAATTAACTAATGGTTTATTGAAATATTTCACTGCATGGATTGCTTCAATAGCCGCTATCGTTTTGAGCATTCACTATTCATATTTTGGTATGTGACTGGTAACCTAATTTGCACAGAATTCTTCTGCTCCCAAGGTTGACACACAGATTTCTGGTATAAATACTATTTCACATGACTATATAGTATACTGCCATGAACAGGGGCATGAATGCATGCCGAAAGTGAACACTGTTGAAAGAAATTCAGTTTAATTTAAAAGGTTGATCTTTTTTCCAGCAAGTCTTGCCCTCTATTGCCCAAGTTTGATGTTCATAGGTGTTGCCCACTCTGCACACAGCCAGCTTCTTTCTCATACACACATGCAGGGCTGGGCAACAATAAACCTATACATTCTCATGTGTGTTCAAGTGATGATGATGTGTCAAGCGTAGGCGCTGAAGTGATTTGCATGCAGTCACAAAAGACAGTTCAGCTGAGGCCCTGTAAAAATTTAATCTGAGAACTCAGCATTTCTGTAATAGGGATTTTCCCCAATTCTCTTGCCCAAAACTTCCCCTCCCACAAAGGATTGTTCAGTGTGCTGTGTGCCAGATTATTGCTACCCTTCACCCCAGAGTTTATTATAAATGAGCTCCTCTTAATAGAAAGAAAATTGCAGTGCTAAAAATAGATACTACATGCATTTTAATTAAAACATGGGACAGGTCTAGAATAAAAGTATAAGAGGTTTTGAAAGTGCAGCACTGTTCAGGAGCAGAAGCCAACTATCTAGATATTTATAGATACAGGTGGAAACTATTCCGGACATGAGAGATACGTGCCCTGCTTTTGATCCTAAATAGTAATGACAGATATACATGTAACACCAACAGAGCCTGGTTGCTGGCAGGTGGAATCGAACTGGGGACCTCTGGAGCTTAGTACATGAGCCTCAACAGCATGAGCTAAAAGCCAACAGGCTGTAGAGCAGACACATTTTATTTTTCTCTCTAAATGGTCTCAGTGCCACTAGATGGGACAGAACACCCAGGGCGCAGCTCTAACTTTTTTGCCATCCAAGGCAAAAAGGAAGAGCTCCGCCCCGCCATAACACTCCCTCCCTCCCCCGCGAGTGCTGCACCCCCGACCCCACCCCCCAGTGCCGGGCCGCCAATCCCCCCCCACCCCTCCGATTGCCACGCTGGGCCGCCCAACTCCCCGCCCCGAGCGCCAGGCCACCGAACCCCCCCCCCGAGCGCCTCGCCGGGCCGCCCAAACCCCCGCGAAGGGCGCACCGGGCCGGCCAACTCCCCCCTAAGTGCCACGCTGGCCAAACCCCCGCCCCCCCCCCCGAGTGACGAGCCGAGCCGCGCCGCCCAACCCCCCCAGAGTGCTGCGCCGC